TTATCATTAGCCAGCAGGGTGATGACATGAGCAGCAGAATTTTCCTCAGGTTTTAATAAACACCATGGAAGGTCTCTGTACTTTGTTTTCACTCATAATTTGGTAAATGTTGTGGCCCAAAACTACTTGTGTAGATCAGATCATGGTTTGAGTTAAAAATAACTCTTTCACAATCACATTGTCACGTCCTCGCTGGCAGATGTGTGGAGTGAGACAGGAAATGAGGGAATGAGACACATGAGACATGGAGACATGACTGACTGGGAGATGCACAAACATAGAGACAGGAGTGACTAGACATGAAACGTGTAACACATAGTAGCAGAAACCTAAAGACTAGAATTTAAGGATACACACATGGAGAACAATAAGGAGAACCAAAAACATGAATAACACTAAATCCAAAAATATAGATTAATCAATAAACATAAAACACTGGGTCACGGACCCAGTACCGTGACACAGTGTTAGAGCAGCCTGGGGGACAAGTCCTTTCCACTTCACAGGACAGTACTGAAAACTACATAAAATGTAGTTTCGAGTGAAATATTTTAGTGTCAAAGTGAGCTGTCGCAAAAAACATGTTGTATTTTTAAAGTGAAATAAAAGCTTAAGATTATTATTCTTGTTTTAAATGGCAAAATATTTCACATTATTATAGTCTTATCCTTCAGTGAATTCAGAGTGATTTATTTTATAAAATGACAGAAAGCTTTTCATGCTAACTTTTCTGCCCTTGATTGGATGTGTTAGTACACAGTTTGAGTGGAGCATATTATAAGACTATGCATCTAGTTCACAATTTTGCTTGTGTGCTAACAAAATCCTTAAATATACATTTAGCTAAACTTTGACTAGCGAGCTCCTATTTAAAGGTGGGGCCAGTGTAGTGTCTTCACCACACCCCTCATTGTACATGAGTTCACAGAATTATTGTAATATATGACTCACTGAGGTAAATACTTCTGTTGTTTGCTGGATAGTGGCAATCTTGGTCCATTTCCACTTCTGGAAGAGCTGTACCCGAGTGGGGTTGTGCAGTGTAGCAGATGGATGAGTACGGAAGAAAGTGGGGAAGCGCTGTCGGTTGGACAGAGCAGGAGAGCTGGAGCCATATGACAGCTAAGAGATGTAAAGACACAAAGAAATGCATTTAGTTTGAATATGAAACCCCCAAAGATCAGTTTATGACGCTTATATAATTTTTTTAATGTTCTCTCTATATATTTAAAGGAAACTACTGTAAAAATGAGAGACTATTAATTTCTTTTCAAGTGGGCAAACTTACAAATTCACCAGGGGAATTATTTCCCCCACTGTACACCTTCTTTGTAATAAAGGAACCACTTTTAGGCCTCCTGATTACTCTTTGTGAGATTAATTTGGATACATGACAGCATAACAATGAATGTAGATGTGTCAAATGCTTGAAACATGGCAGTTGATTTTTCAAAACAATTGTGTCTTTTAGTGAACTCACTTATCATAATGATGACAGAAATGTCACCATATACAATCCGAATTAAGCTTGAAAAGAGATACATTACTTGGTGCTGCTGTCATAGTTTTCACAGAAAATACTCTGACAGACATGAACATGATCAGAAGCCATCGCAATAAAAGAAAGGAGAGCATTTCTAAAGGGGGGTTTAAAGTCAGTTCACCATTTCTATTTAAATCATGTTGGAGACAAGAATTTAAATGAGTGTATTTAGGACTGTGAGCCTACTGACATCCTAGAAATTAAAGAGCAAAGAGAGGCTGCAGACAGAGATAAGCTAAAGAATTTATGAACCTGTAGTTCACAAAAATGTGATATCTAAGATTTTCCTTTGAATACACATATTTTCAGGCAGTATATCACAAAGTGGACACTTCTTCCAGTTTTGGTGCAGGAAGTGGAGCGAAAGCTCTCGAGATGAAAATAGCAACGTGTATAAAAAATTAAGGAAACCGTCTGGAATTTTTAAAGATTTTTTTTTTTTAAATCAGTGCACTTTACAACCAGATCCCCAAAAGCATGTGCTTTGCTCTCAGCTCAGACAGCCACACAGCTGTGTAAGTGATCTGTCTATTGGATGGCGTAAGACAAGTGTAAGATGACTCACTGTCATAATAACTATCATCGATAGTTTAGTTTTCCAAAAACAATAAAAATAATAAACCTGTCATGAGCCCTGGGTCTAAGAACCCAGGGCTCGTGTATTTTTTGTATATGTTTATTTTTCCGTATGTTGTGTTTTTGGTGGCTTTCTCTGCTTTTTTCCTCTTTCTTCCTCTGTGTGTGGTCATACGAGCTCCGGGATATTTTGGGTCGCTGAGAGCACTGCGACCCAGAAGTGTTCTCACACTGGAGGCTGCCGCACCTGCCGCTTGTTAGCCTTCACCAGCTGCAGCTGATCGCCTCATCAAGAGAGTCCTATTTAAGAAGGTGGCGGAGCTCCAGTCAGCGCAGAATTATACTATGTCAAACCTGTAAAGTACCTCAGTTGATGAGTGTTTATGTGAACAACATCGCTACTGTGGGTTTCCTGATAAGCTGTATGTGTTTTGTGTCACCAGGAGTCGGGAGCAAGAAGCGTCGTCATGAGGGGAAATCACAGAGCGGAATCGGGTTTTGGAGTTGTCACATTTTCACTGTTTATGGACACGTGCACTGTGTGGGATTCACAGAGGAATCGCCACGGGAGCCACAGTGCTGTATTTGTACATAGTTGTTTTTTTCCACTCACTATAAATAAATTCACTGTCCTTCACTATAAGAGCATTTGGGTCCAACTGTCCTCAACTCCACGGTCTGCCATCGCTGACCGTGACAGAATAATTCCGCTATCATGGGCCCAGCGGACTCAAATGTCGCCTCAGAGGAGAAGTTGCTCGTCCAGCTCTGGAGTTACTGCTAGAGCGTAACCCAGGCTGCAAATCAGCATCAGAGCCACATACTGGTAGTGTTTTTTTGATACTTTTCTGTCATCCACTACCATTTCTGTGAGCTTTTTGGAAATTAAAAAACTAATTCAAATTGTAAACGTGCTGAGGGCAAGCTCCAGCTTTGAGGTGTTTGGTTTGGGCAGTCCGGGCAAGGAGGATGCGGCTGCCTCCCTGGGAGCCCTTGCTGCCTGTTTTTTTTTTTTTTTTCTTCATAGGCAGACAGTTTCCCTACTATCGCTCGCTGCTCACTTGTTGGACCCTCCACTGCAGGGAAGAAGGCTCCCTTGCCATCGCCAACCTACCCCATCTCCTCTCCCTCCTTGAACGTCTGTTGAGTCAGCAAACAAATGCTAGTCACCACAGTGAGTAGACCGGACTGTTGTTTTAGTAAATCCTGTCACAGAGGATAAAAATACAGATAATCAGGAGGGGACAGTTTCCATACACGCGGCCCCACCTTCTCAGAGGAGATGGTGCCTATGCCATCATCAAACCAAATCTCACCTCACTCCTGTGGCTTCAGAAGAATCAGCTGATTCTGGACCAGCAGTGCAAGGCGCCGCAGTGAGTAACTCAGACTCCACCATAGTTGTAACTCCATTTGCTATGAACAAGAAAATGAAGGATGTTTCTTCCCCACTCACTAGCAATGCTAAGCCTGCTCAAAGTGGTGAGAGAGGGATTTTGGCTAACCTGTCCATCATGGGTTTCTCTGGGTCAGTGGGCCTGGAGACTGTTAGTTCAGTGACTGTCAGCTCACTGTCAGTTGGCCCTGTAGTTACTAATTGTGAAGCTGTTGTGAGTAACCGAGACATTTTGTCATTACCTGTTGAAACAGTGACTATTCATTCTGGGGAGGAGTGTTGTTCAGGGAGTGATGGAAACTATTTTTCTTGTGCTCATTCTGAGCCTGGAGTGTTTAAACTAGAGCCGATTAATACCAATGCTGTGGGTTTTCAGACTGTTTGTGTGGCTGTTAACCAGACTGCTTTAAAGTTAGTAACTCAGTTGATTCTGAGGCTGAACATGGTTCTGGAACTGCCCCTGGACCTCTGGAGAGTTTGCAACCAGAACTCCCCACACTTCCACCTTCATCCTTGGCAGGGAGATCAAGTAAGCTGATTCAGCGGACTGTGGACAGGGTAGCCGTTTTAGTGGACTTTGAAATTGCACATGCTGAATTAGAGCACTCTGATTTAGGGAACTCTGAGTTGTGGCCAGAACACTCAGAGCCGCCAGCTCAGCATGAAACTCAGCAATTAGCTCAGTCAGCCGCTCAACCACCTGCTCAACTTCACCCACAAATGTCACTACAATCAGAAGCTCAGTTTCCTGTGTTGCCACGAGCTCAGTCTCTAGTGCAGTCTTCTGTTCCATCATCAGTTCAGCTGTTAGCACAGCCTACTGTAGCTCAGTCAGCCGCCCGGCCTGTAGCTGGGGCTCAGTCAGCCGCCCGGCCTGTAGCT